GAACCTCCGCCATGCCCACTGGAGAAGGCTCTCTGGGTTGCCTGGTAGAGAACAGACAGGACTCCATTCTCATGAGACCCCACCTGGAGCACTGCCTTCAGCTCTGGGGCCCCCAACATAAGGAGGACAGGGACCTGTTGGAGCAAGTCCAGAGGAGGGCCATGAAGATGATCGGAGGGCTGGAACACCTCTCCTATGAAGACAGGCTGAGAGAGTTGGGGTTGTTCAGCCTGGAGAAGAGAAAGCTCCGGGGAGACCTTACAGCAGCCTTCCAGTACCTAAAGGGGGCCTACAGGAGAGACTGGGAGGGACTCTTGATCAGGGAGTATAGTGACAGGACGAGGGGTAACGGTTTTAAACTGAAAGAGGGTATATTTAGATTAGATATTAGGAAGAAATTCTTTACTGGGAGGGTGGTGAGACACTGGAACAGGTTGCCCAGAGAAGTTGTGGATGCCCCCTCCCTGGAAGTGTTCAAGGCCAGGTTGGATGAGACCACGTGCAGGGAGAGGTTTGAAGCATCTGCTGCTTTGCAGAGGACACCCACTAGCAATAATGCAACTTCAGGTCAGGCTTCTTGTACTTCTGCTGGCCAGCCTGCAGCCACAATAACAGGAGATCTGTTTCTCTCTTTAGGTTGCCAAATACAAATGCTGAAGAGTTGAGCCTTTTTGGTTTTTTTGGGGTTTGTTTGTTTTTTTTTTTTTTAGAAGAAAAGTTAGAATGAGCACGTGGAGGCCCCCAACACATTTCTTTTCATATTTGTCATGAAGATGTTATAACCAGCTGTCACTAGCAAAAAAGTTTATATTAAAAGCATTCACCCTGTTGAAGGTGTTCAAGTCTTCACTGAGTCTCCCCCTGTTTTGTTTTTATTTGGTCATTTGATTCTGCTGCAGTCCTTGTTTGTGTAATGCTGAAATACCTCTTTCTGTTAGATGTTTATATGTTAGGGGCACCTGCACGATGCTAAAGACAAAAGTTTCAAGTATAGGTTGAGAAGAAAACAGTTGATGGGATTTCAGATGTCTGCTAGTGACTTTGGCTCTTCTGTGTGAAATTAAGGAAGAACTGTTTTGATACGGGAGCTGGTTGTAGTTTCACATCTGAGAACTCTTTCTGTTCCTTTTTTCTAAAAATACCATTAGATGCTTTTGTTTTCACACGTAAATCCTATAGTTGGACAGTCAGATTGGGTGCTTTGTTTATACAGAAAGTATTTGAGACACACACCTCTTCCATTAAGTAGAACTTTCGGTGCTTAGCTCCTTCAAAAAATTAAAATGTCTAAGTAAGGACTTGGTCATCTTCCATTAAACATTGCTTGCCCAGGAGCTTTGATTAGATCTATTTTGACTACTTTGTTTTAATATACAGATTGCGGTTTTGCTTATCTTTTGGAACAAACCACTTCATCCATTTGCCTTACTACTCCTAGAAATTTTAAGCAAATGCACCTTTTCCTTAGGCTTTCACATTCCTATGCAAATCCAGCCTAATTCTTCGACCATGACCAGACAGCAGCTGCAGAAACCCTGCCAAGGTCTGAGATGTCATTGTCCCTCCACTGTTGGTCACTACCTACGTGGCAAAGCTGGTGGCTTCCATGAGTTCATCCAACAGCATGGTTCTTGTGAGCACTCCTCATCTGCAGCGCTGCCAAGTCCTCCAGGCTGGGCTGAGCCCTCTCCAGCGGCTTTTCAACCCAAGCTTCTTGTGCTGAAGCATGTGAGAAATGCTCACGTGAACTCTTCAGCTGTGAGCGTGGGATCCTCTTCACAGACAACCCGGGAATGGGAACATCTTAATCTACCACAG